ATACATCGAACAGGCGATGGGCACTAAATAAGTGCATAACTCTCAGAATAAGCTGAGAAAAAAAAAACATACCAAAATATCCAAAGAAAAATCCACCAGCAACAGTAAGTAATGTATTAAGCACCACTGTCAACTGTCTATTTACAGCTTTCATTTCCTGAAATTTAAGCAAAATCATCATTTTAGTGCACTGATCTTTGATCAGCTGTTAGTCAGTTTTACCAAACCGTACATAATATTGTGCCAACAGTTTGTTGATAAGCAACTCCTGAAGTGGATGCTAAAAAAAAGCCTTTTCGACTTTTGTTTCCGCTCTCACAGGGAAGGACTTTTTTGTTTTTCTGCTTCAAAACAATCGAAGAAAAAAAGAAAGAACTGAATACGGTTAGAATTCCCTTCAACAAAATGAAAGAAGCCAGAGTTTACGCAAATACATTTATAAGCGTATAAGGACATGGAATTGGTTCAGCCGGAGATAAGGACGATAAGTAACGGGGATTCGAAGGCCAAAGATCCGAATGGGGTGATCGAAGTGGATTAAACTGATAAAAATTTTTGTTGCGGTCTTTGGTGGGTCGAACCATAATTTCTGAAGTAATGGCCAGTGTGAAGAAATGGCTGAAGTCCTTGAATTTTAATGTGAGATGAAAGTAGTAGTAAATGGATTATGCTGTATTCAAAAAGCGCCACGGTTCCTGTGATGTCTCAGTATTTTGTTCGAATCGTAGAATCCAAGCAAAACTATTTGAATTTCGTGCCAGATCGCACTGATATCCGCACCAGGTCACAAAGAAATCGGCAAATTTGATTCCTATTGTGTGGATCAAAGTATCGGAAATCGCATGCGTGTTATTAATTTTCAACAGTTTCTCAACAACATACCGCTCCAAAACCGCGCATAAGATTTTCATGTCCATAACTTCGATTCGAATCTATCGATCGTGTCATTTCTCGATACTGCCGATCCTCCTAGAAGCAGGTAAAAATTCACAAAAGAAAATCTCCAAATCGTGGATAAGCAAAAAATGAATTTGGAAAAACGAGAAAATTCCATAACTACATCGAATCAGCGGCGGATATTAACTCGATGAAAACAGCTTAGGAATGAAGGACCTGGCATAGCTGCGCTGCATGAGA